AGGGGGCCACATAGAATGGCATAAGAAATCCATCCAAGTTTTCCTGTCTAGATACAGAGCTTCTATTATCTTTCAACGAGAGAAGACAGCCATGGGAAGAGATTCTCTCAATTCAGTGCCTGAAATACATACTTACAGATGTTCCTGAAAAGTCAGCAGGATGATTTTAAACAGCAGATTTCAAAAGATACAGCATAAGACATGCAAGATTTAGTCTGACCTCAAAATTTAAGTTTTAGCAATTACTAGATTTTAAAAGCAAGCATCATTTTTGGAGGTATCACTTGTAAGTAAACAAGTGAGATCGTTCTATAGGCACCATGTTGCAGCTGTAGACAGGCAAAACAGACACTAAAATCTCAATTAGGAACCAAATTATCCAACTGGGATGCACAATATTGAAGTACTTCAGTATAACATCAAAACATTCAGACAGATTAATTGTGCCAGTGTTGTTTTCCTACTTTTAACAAAACTCTCTAGGCAGACAAATTAACATTTTTCAGTTTGTAAATTTACAAACAGCTACCCAATTATGGAAACCTGGGAGTTAAAGACAATCAAGGATTTTACAGGGGCTTAGTCATGTGAGTTCTCTTTCAGTTTTGCTGTGCTAGCCCCTTTTAGCACCATAGAAAAACAAATCAAGGTTTTATTTCCACGGCAAGGCAATATCAAGAACACAAAATGCCGACAATATGTTGTTTTATTGCTAATAGAATTTGCTTGCCTACAGATCTGGGTTTCAACTTAATGCACTGTTACTGAAAAGATTCTGTGGGCCCTTTAAAATAATTTTTGTAAGCATTTTATTCATTTAGTAAATACTTGAGACAACCAAATGAGAATGATATTCTGTATATAATTTTTTGTTTATGAAACTTAGCAGGAATATTTCAACGAAAGGAAAAAACCTCATGTTTGGACCATTAATAAGAAAGAGATACTGCTTTGGCATCTCAATTTCAATTTTCAAAATAAAGACATTCTCAAGCTATTAAAAGGGCTGCTAAGTGAAGCCTTGTACTCCGCAGGGAGTCCACAATACAAAGTCTTTTGTCTGAGAAAACCCAGTTTTTCTGGCAATAAAATATCACTTGGCTTCTTTCTCCAGTTTCTTTAATTTTACTGCATGCTAAGGAATTAAAGCATTTCCAACACGCTGATGCTATTTTGTTTTACTTCATAGTGCATCAGCTTCAGGTCTCTCATCACAATCTGTGAGGAGGAAAGCTAGCTTTTCAGAATATATTAGTAGTAAGAGACTCTCCCCCACTCACACATTAAATCTAAACCAAATCAAGAGAAATTATCCATTAAAACTATATACAAAGCTGTCTACCACAGTTGGGTATCAAGCCGAAATTCAGTGCCAAATCAGAAGTATTAATTAGGTGTAACTTTTATTGCCTCACTCTCCAGATCTTTGGACCTAGATTAAACCTCTCCTATTTCACCTCAGAGAATTTGCAAACATTGCACACCTAGCGCAGGCTACGGCAGGAATGGCAAAGGAGGGAGGATTAGTTGCAAGCCCCATCCTTCGGCTTGTAATGGCTTGATTCTGTTATCGCTGGAATACAGATCAAAACATTCAGTCTCTTTCATGGCTGAGAAAGTAGATCTATTTTTAGAACAAATAACCTGGCATCAAACAGCTGAGAAAATTAGCTAGTTCACACTGCAGACCAAAACTATTTTGCCATGGCATAAAGCAGCCTTTTCCTGTTAAATACCCAACACATTCAGATACCTGTAAGCTCAACCTCTTTTACAGAGCAAATCCAAGTACAGTCAGTGCTTTATAACCACTTTAGGCATATCCCCAAAAAGCTATAAAGCATCTGATAGCGACTTTAAGTCAGCCTTACTATTTTTACTCAGAATTAGAGATCTGAGGGAACCATTTTTCTTTACTGGGAGGAAAAAAAAAACACCCACCGCCCTGTCTGAAAGATGCTTTCAAAACAGGAAAACATTTTAAATGCATTTTATACCACCAAATTCCTCTTTCACAACCTATTAAAATAGTAAAAGCAAATGCCACCATGGGTACACTGGTCACATTATTGCAAGATTCAAATCATATTATTTCTATTTATTTTCCAATATTTACTAAGAAAAGAGCTTGTCCTCAATACATTTAGTCACAAGTGGGTCGTCTTTGGTGTGTCTCCCAGTACCATATACACATTTCTTATTCTAAGAATTTATACAGAGGATTGATGAATATTGGTAGGCACAGGGATGGACATAAAGGCTGAAGCCTTCAAATGATGCAAGTGTGTTTAATCTATTTCTTTCTTTTTTTTTTTTATACCACTTAACTTGCATTGAGGTAAGTCCATGTGAAGACAAAAAAAATTCCCCAAAAGCTAAGGACACTTGGAGTGGAGTTCAATTCAACACACCAGGCAGACACAATGCATGGTAAAATGGTACAAGCAGTGCTAATTCATTAACAAGTGACAGATGAGAAACAGCTGGAAGTGCAACTTTACATATACTGCAAAAGAAGTTTAAGCAGTTTGTTTAGCTGGTAAAATGGAAAGTGAAAGACCAAAGAAATCAAAGAATATGGTTAACCACAAATTACCAAGATATTTAAGTCACTATTTTTACAAAGAAAAAAAACCAGTATGAAAAAATGGAAGATAGTGAAATCTGTACTTATATTAACATGTCTTGAGGAAAAAAGATATTTGGAACAATTAAGGAGAAGAATCAGAGAGAATGTTTTTTCAAAAAGATTACCTAAATTAAGCAACATTCCTATGTTAAGTATCAGGAAACACCTTCTGCCCTGATGGGCTTATGTCATCCATGAACAACAAATATCCCACAGAAATTAACACTGGGATTACAAAGGAAAAGGAAATTATATCATGAGTTTCTCTCAGAACCTTCTCTAACACTAAAAATAACAGGTAGAGAATCCTAGATTGAAGTGGTAATTTTATGTAACATATAAAAACAGACAGAATGGGTAAAAGGATGGGAAAGGGGAACTTTAATTACGAAGAGAAGGAGACAAAGAAACGAGAAGCATAGCTGTTACAAGATCTGTTACGGGAATAATTTTAAGCAATATGAGCTAATAAAGAGAAAGGAAGGAGTTGCGGCAAAAGTGATCTTGAAGGTCAACTAGGTTGTGTTCACTGCTTCAAAGCACACTGTTTCTGCGGTTGTCTTCAGAAAGTCACCGCACCTAGACTAGAATTCTAGAGCCAGGCACACCTCCCAGTAATATCAGGCATTTGATAAATGTCAAATGATCTATGTAATATTAAATAATGTGCATATTCTGACAAATGTCATTGCACTTAGAAAAATTTCACTTCACACTCTATGACATTGAAATGTAATGAGTTGCAGCAGGGAGACCTTAGCCAGCCTTGTCTAGAAAGAGAAACTGAACAGGACGGAAGCCAAGTACAAATGCTCCAATGCATATGTGCATCCCAAGAAGTGACAGGATGTAAGAACACGAAATAAAAATTACTTAAGAATATAAAGTCAAAGCATGAAAGAGAAATGATTTGTCAGATAACACAGACCATAGTGCCTTTAGGAAAGGAGCTCCTGGTAAAAAGTTGTCATGGCTGATAGCTGGAAGAGGCAACTGCAAAAGCGGTTTAAATGAGTGCACGTGCTGCTTTCACCATTGACATTCATAATTAGGTCTGTTAAGAGAGAAAATATTCCATCTACATCAAGACTTCTCCATAGCATCTCTAAGCCTCTTGACCTCAGTTTCTTTTGCAGCATCCACATCAGTTTTTGTACGCTTTCCCCCCACATGTCTGGTCTATTTATAAACTGTTCAGGTCGGGGCCACGTATTACCATGAGTGTATTAACAGACCTGCAGAAATGAGCCCCATTCCGAGGTTCTTCCCTTGGTCCTGCTAGTTCGTAAAGAAAAATGGCCCTCAAAGATGACTAGTTCACCATTGGGTAAGAGTTCAACAGTGGTGAGTAAATATCTAGTGGTTAAGTGGACAAAAATAAAAAATAATAAACAGCATAAAAATATAAACTACTTTATTTCCTTTGATTATAAAAAGACTAGGAGAGTCTGAAAGAAAGTGCAGTTCTACAGGAATAAGAGGGCAAGACTTATCATTCTTGCCCTGTTGTATGTCCATCCTCTTGCATGACTACCCTGTGACTATTGCGGACATATTTCTGTGTCCATAAAGCAAGGAATATTTGACTACTTGCATAGAAATGTATTTTCAAGACTTACCAAATAGAACTAATTAAAACCACTAAGAAGCATCACTTTAGTCTTCAAAACCTTACTTCAACAATTTATCATCTGAATTTTGGGTTATCCCCGATGACAACAAAAGCCTTTTTAATTGCATCAAATTCAAGGTGAAACATATTAGGTACTTAGCCATTTTATAAAAATTTACGGTCTATCAAAATAACATCTTCCGTACTTCAACGGATCCAGTTCATGGCTGTGAGTTCTTTGAAACTGTTTTCAATTTACACAGTAATCCCACAGTGCCAGGTACAACAGCCATGCATATATTCATGATTCATTTAACAAATACAGCATAGTTCAGGAGCGCTGCAGAAATCCTGTGCAATCACTTGACAAATATGATACTTATGAACATTAGTAATGTTAAAACTAAAAGAACGTTAATAGCAGTGTTCTGGTCTTACATTTTCCTGCCTCAGAAATGTTTTGATACACAAGTTTTCTCATCAAAATTACAATACGGAGCTAAGTAAGTATAAGGCATATGCCCACTCACATATACATATGCAGACATATATATATATTTTACATTAATTTTGTAGAATATAGATAGGTATTTCCCAGTGCTTTGCTTAGACAAAAAAATTTCTTTAACAGCACCTGAAAGATTTATTTACTAGGTCTTTTTAACACTTACATCATTCTTTAGGTATTTAAGATTTAAATTTAATGATAACAGCAGTGTAACACAACCATTGTTGCACCACAACTGAATTTAAATATACCTGCTTCTACAGGAATTGGTTTCTCCAGGAGAAAAACTGTCTGTTTCCAGTGTGTTTTGGTACACTGGGGACCAGTTGAAAACAAGACCTGCAATGGAAGAGTTCAAGAGTTTGATTAAGAACAACATTTTTGATAACACACTACATCAATCAATTACCAAACACACATGCACATGAAGTGCTTGCTACAGCAAAACAGGCTCACTGCCAAACACCTTGAGGCAGAATAAAGTATAAACCCACCCTTATCTCTCAAAGACATTTTTAAATGCACAGCCCCAAATACTCACCTTGTTGTGACAGTTCTTCTCAAAAAATATATCAAAATAACCAGCAACTGCCTATAAAAAAAAGGAAAATGCAAATATGATAAAGGAATAATAGTGACACTCAAGAAAAAGCCTATCATGAACATATACGTTTATTGGGATTTCTACTCCTTGTCAAGCCTTTACTAACAGGAACAACCTTAGATTTATGCCTTCAAGCATATTAGAAATCCTAAACCAAAAAATAAGCTGTCATCACAACTCCTTGGTTCTACTTGAGAATATTCAGCCCACTATAACTGCATTTTACTACATATTGAATTTCAGCCCGAGTTTCCAAAATAACCCACGCACCCTAACTGCAACTAGAATTACATGAGAGAAAACAGCCTTTCAGATTTGCAAACCCACAAGCATAAAATTCAGTCCTTGCCCCCTACGGCTCCCACGACCCTCAATAAATACACAGACAGTACGAGGGATTCGGCATAACGTGTTTGCTCTTTGTGTAGCTTAACACTGTTTTCCACAAAAGCTCCCTGTGAACAGAGGCAGAGCATAACCAGGCAGGGAATATTTTTCTTCCTCTACTACACACACAGATAAGGAAAAAGATTCACAAATGCCTCATTGCTGGCCTTTTCAGCAGTTAATAGTTTCTAGTAGTAACTCTCCATAGGATTCCTCGGAACACTACTTCTGTCCCTGCTGCCATCCTACTCCTAACCTCAAAGAGCCTCTCTCTTCAGTGCATAATTCATTAGTGGGACTCTTCTTCCAGCTTGAAGAGGAAAATAAATACAAAGTGTCCGCACACAAAACAGTATACCAACACTATTAGTTACACAGTCTGTTAACACCGGCTTGCTTTTTTGAAAAAAAAAAAAAGCCTTGTGAGAGTCCCAGAAATTCAAAGCATTCAAATAAAGAACTGGAAGATGCTAATAAAAAGACCATCCACTCCACAGTTTCACCGCTGAAATCCTGTCCGTGCTCACCTTTATTTGCTTTCTACTCTCTCCTACAAAAAGGCTACAGCAAATCAGACCGTGGGCCCAAGGCAGTTATGCTTTTCTGTTGTATGTCAGCCTGAAGAAATGACCCAGAATAGAGCTTTTGAGTAACCAACTACAGCAGCTGGGGACTCTCTATCCCTGTGACAGCAGGAAGGGATTCTCCCCACGGCAGCTATAGTACATTCAAAGAAGATAAGGACCAATTCAACAATGGCAAACCTGTTGCATGAAAACTCACTGCTAACAACTGATTATAACCTTCCTCTCACAGCACCAGTATTTTTCTCCTACTCTAAGTCTAGGAAACTGGTTGTTCTGAATAGTTACAAAGGACAAGTTCTGTAGCATGCCCTTCATATTGACTCAGAGATAGACTGTGAAGTCTAGAAGTGAAGGAAAAAAAGTCGTCAAACATGCCTGCAAAATTGAGGTAACATACTGAATGGCATAGGGCTTTATCATTATGAAGTATGTAATCTGAATGATAGCTAAACCATTCTGGTATTGTTCCTCTCTAGTCTAAATCCAGAACAGATTTCACCAACAAGGTGGAGAACACAATGTGTTAAAGCAAGGAAGCCTACGTTAAAGTACCTGTGTTAGCTTCTCAGCTATGGGCACTCCAGAGAAGCCCAGCAAGTTCCAAACTCCGATGTGGGCAAATATTCTTAAAAAATGAACCACGGAGACACTGAAGGAGCTTTGTGACAATTGAGCACCAGATGTTGCAAACGGTCACTCTTCCATCCCTTAAGTCCTATCACTCAATGCTGAAAATCTCATTCCCAAGTGAATTACAGCCTTGTGTCTAACATACCTTTTTCAGTAAAGATTGAGAAGGTTTTGACAAAGCTTTATTGACCCATCAGATTACTTTTATTGATGCACAATTTTTTTCTGGACATTAGTCAGAGATCTAAGTCATAAAAAAATTTTTCAATCATCAGGTCAATACTGTTGATACGCTTACAAATAAGACCTAGGATATGACTACTAGAGAAAGGAAAACAAGGTTGCGACAACAAAAATACATTAAGAATTGAGGGGGGAAAAAAATTAGCTTCCAGAGAAAATGAGACATCAAGCTACATTTTGGACCAGAAAGCTAAAAGCTCCAAGCAGACATACCATAGCTAAGGTGGATGCAATTATCTGTACACTTGGTAGCAAGAAGTAACAGAAACACCTTACATGCTACCCTGAGAAAACATCCCCAGATTGGCATTTTTTTTTAGAATCAAGTTCAGGCTGAAAAGAAACTGCAGTTACAAGCAAAGAAACTGTCCCCTGCTATTTGCTGCCTCCTGTGCTCAGGGAAACGGGATTTGTACACCTTCTGTAAATGACTAGGATAAATAACCGCCTTATTCCTTACAGTATCATCGGTTTCCCTAACTGAAACAACCTGACACACTGACTTTGACTACCTAAATCAAGAGGTAGTAGCAGTAATTATTACACATCAAAAGACCACCACCTTATGTAGAGCTCCAAGGACTACAGAGAACAAGAGCTCTACACTGAACCATTAAATTTTTTATGTTCTAAAATGGATATACATCCTTCAATATTGATACTGAAATAATTGTTGAGCTGAAAGAAGAAAAATACAGAAAAATATTCTAACAAAATAAATTCCTCAAGTCCCTAAGGATAAGCTCCTGTGAACAGCTTCAGGCATTCCCCCAAATTGCTCAAAATTTGGTCAGTTAAAACTGGGCAGGGAGGACACCCCAAAACCAAAACACCCACTCTCTGGTGAGCTATGTCAACAAGCAACCCCAGTCCTGCAAAGCTAAATAGAAGTTATATGCTTAAATACATACAGGAGAGAGTTTGAACGATGTTTTGAAAACTAACTGTAAGAGCATATATTGCAGTTCAGAAATCTAATGAGTATCTTTTATTAATACATTTTTAAAGCGTTTTTGAGCCAAATAAAAAAAAACAACACACACACTTGGTTTGACGATTTTTCTTTGTGAAATTAGTTACAGCTGCGTAATTTGTTTTTAATAAACATTTTTTGGCAACCTGCCATCATTTACCGACAGCACGTTTAATCTTCAGATAGAAATCTCTCCCCTTGTATTTTAAATCTTTGGGAAAACAAAAAGTCTAATACCAAACCCAGTAGTTACTGACCAGCTGCAAAATTTGTTTAATATTCACTACGGCAGCTATTCTACAAGCCAATTACAGTTGAGGAAATACAGAAAGCAAAAATGCACAGATTAAATATATCCCACTTTGATGCACACAGCCCGTGGCTTACCCTGTAAAACAAGAAACCAAACCAGAAGTTTAAACCTGCTATTCAACAGAAGTAGTTATTTGCATATACCTAGGTAATAAACGTAAGGTCAAGTCCACCCTAAAGCCTTCCAGTAACTCCAGACTAAATTAACTACCTTCTTCCTTTCCTCTTCATTTCACATGGAAGATTGCATGTGCTAGATTGCATGTGTTCCCCTGCCAATAACATAGCACTTTAAAAGGCATTCAATTTATCCAAATTATACATTATTTTCATGAAGTAAATTCAGTTTTATTTCTCAACAGACACGTTACAGGAATTATTAAATTCACCAGCTCTTCTCAAGAAAAGGGTTGTTCCATATGGTCCTCTATAGCATATGTACATTTATATGCTCATCCAAACACTACGCTATGCTTACATTTTTTAAATATACTGTCGCCTTTTTAAGATCTTTCTGCTTTTGAGCTGTTTTGTCATTTGATCTGCCCCAGACCTACAGGATCTCAAGCTACCTACATAGATACCTACAATCGCATTAAAACAAGCACATCTGGCCTTCCTAAAACCCGCCAGACAATTTTGTAAAACAAGAAAAGCAATCAGTAAGGACAGTCATAATGAGTTTCAAGGCTGAGATGGTCCTGGGCCTATATTAAACTGCTAAGTAGTTAGCTACTGATACTGTTTTCTCGGCTTCCTTTAACAATTCATACCACCCATTCCAAAACATCTGTGTATGAAACCAATTGTTCAATTAAAAGTTTTATCAAAAGAAATAGGCTGGGCTTCTTCTATGCTAAAATACAAGGAGGGCATGCAGGATCTCAGCATAGCTCTAAAACCTTTTTGTAGAAAGCAAGCAAGCAAGGAAGGAACCCAAGAGAAAGGAAAGCCTCAAATTTACAGTTAGTCTAGAAAACCTTAGTCTAAAGAGTGGGTGGGCCTATGTCAAAGACGAACCTTGTTCTTTACACCCAATTTAATGATTTCTTCATACCAAAAAAAGAAGTTGACTGCTTCTTACAACTACCCAATCTTTCCTTTAAGCAATCTAGGAATTCAAAGAATAGACCATTATAGCCTTACTATGATGGTCTAGTTTTATTCATCTAGCACAGAATTAATAATAAATGTTAACAATTAATTCCTACCATGACATTTTAAATCCAGAGTGTATCTTTTTTCGTTACAGCTCAATTTTATAAATCTTTTCATGTTCAAAGTAGTCAGCTATTCTAGGACCAGCAAAACATTTAATTTTCAAAAAACTCGGCCAATGACACTATCTCTAATACAGAAAGAAAGTTTTCTTTGCCATGTCAAAGGCTTTAGTAAAGCCTTTGACACCATTTTCTACAGCATCCTCCTGGAGACACTGGCTGCTCATGGCTTGGACGGGCATACTCTTAGCTGGGTAAAAAACTGGCTGGATGGCCGGGCCCAAAGAGTTGTGGTGAATCGAGCTAAATCCAGTTGGCAGCTGGTCACAAGTGGTGTTCCCCAGGGCTCAGTATTGGGGCCAGTTCTGTTTAATATCTTTATCAATGATCTCGATGAGGGGATCGAGTGCACCCTGATCAGTAAGTTTGCAGACAACACCAAGTTGGGCGGCAGTGTTGATCTGCTCGAGGGTAGGAAGGCTCTGCAGAGGGACCTGGACAGGCTGGATCAACGGGCTGAGGCCAATTTTATGAGGTTCAACAAGGCTGAGTGTCAGGTCCTGCACTTGGGTCACAACAACCCCATGCAACACTACAG